AGCGCGATGCCAGCTGAGTTTCACTTCTCATCGGGCTCTGTGGTGATTTGTGCCCTTGCCAGGATCTGGCCGCATGTGGTCAAGGGTGCCAGTTGGTCATTAGGCGATGGCACTCGAACTCTCTTGTGGTGAGACAATTGGCTGAATTTCTCCGAGGCTTTAATTAATCGAGTTTGTGGAGTTATACCAGAGGATCAATTGACATGGTCTGTTTCCAAATATGTTAATGACATGGAACAATAGGACTGTCCGAGCTTCTCTTCATTGGTGCTCCATCAGATCTCCTTCGCATCTCGGCTATTTTGCCTCCTAAAGCGGGAGCTGGTCGGGACCGCTTGTTTTGGGGTTGGTTTGCCAATGGCCAATTTACGACCCGGTCAGCATACGCTTCTTTGGCACCAACGGACCGACAGCAAAACTTAGCCTTTGGAGGTTGATATGGAGATGGGTTGGTCCTCAACGTATCAAACAATTTCTATGGCTGGTTGTGAAAGAAAGGTTGTTGACAAATGGTGAGCGGCATTGGCGTCACCTAGCAGACAGTCCATTGTGTGAGTTGTGTAGATCTCATCCGTAGACAACTCTCCATGTGCTACGCGATTGCGTTTGGTTCAGACCCAATTCTCGAAGAAGTTGATTACACGCTATCGATGGGAAGCGTTCTTCGGCATGGAATTGGGTACGTGGTTAGAAACAATCTTGGCCAATAAGTTGGATCTCTTAGACGAGAGTTGGGACTGTTCGGTTGGAGTCATCTTGTGGCGTCTTTGGCAAGGGCAGAATTATTACATTTTTAATGGTATGGATCCCTTAGTGAATAACAAATTCATGAAGAAAGAAAATATGTTGGTACTCTGAAGCAAGCGAACTCCAGTTTACGGCAACTTGAACAAAGCAGAACCGAACGTTTAGATCATATGATTTGTTGGGAACCTCCAATGGCGGGGTGGATAAAGTCTAATTCTGACGGAACTTTCAATACTTCTATATGTATGGCAAGTGCGAGAGGCTTATTATGTGACCACAATGGTCAATTTGTTGGTGGATTCGTCATCAACATATGTTTTAGCTTTGATGTTAGCGTGGGACTTGGGGTATCGTCGAGTTCTAGCCGATATCGACAAAAAGGTGGTAGCTGACTTGGTGAATAGCCAGGCCGAAGTGGAGGGTGTTCATAGTAGCCTAGTCCGGGCTACAAAGAAGTTAATGAGTCGTGATTGGAATGTGGAAATAAGTCTTGTCTACCGGGAATCAAACTTCTTGGCAGATTATTTGGCTTCATTAGCCGCTACTAGCTCTGGAGGTTTGCAACGACTAGAGTTCCTGCCAGCTGGGTTGAAGTCATGGCTTGAGCACGATGATGTTCGAGTGGCTTACCCACGCAAGGTAGCTTCTTAGGCTTCCTTTTCCTCTCTATGTAAAAAAAAGGGGATACCCTCTTTCTTTCTTTCTTTCTCTCTCTCTCTCTCATTAAATGGGCTCTTAACAATGACAATTAAGCCATTAAAAAATTTAAAAGGTAAGGGTAGCTTGGTCTGTCTAAAGTTTTACAGAAATATTGGTACTTTAGATAGTAATAGATTAACTCACAAATGGCGACAAAAAAAGCAACTGAATAAGTGGTTCTTAAACGCATTTAAATCACTGTGCCTGTGATCAATTAAAACTCTTCACATTAACTACGACGAATTGTTAGCGTGCGTTCTAACCTCAAGTAATGTGTCATTAAACTTATTGAGGGGGTGTGCCATTTTTTGTCCCGCAAGAAAGCGATTATCCCAAATAGTTCCACAACTTTCAAAAAATAATAAAAAATAGGACTTTTGATTCGATTTCGGTCCTGAAAGGCCTGATAAGCCATGTGACACATATGTGACATTTTTCTTGACATGCTGACAACATTTATCACATGTGGCATGGGAGAAAACCCGTGGGACTAGTTTTGAAATTTCTCTATTTTTTATATTCTTAGTCTCTCCTTTTGTTATATAAATTATTATACATATATTAATTACATAAATATATTATTAAGTAAATTTAAGACAAGATCTTGAATATATATAATTATTTTATAACTAATCATAAACAATTTTAATTATGAATAAGAATAGATGATACATCAAAATAAATTTAGAAAATATTTATAATTGCTTTGATTTTGTGATGTGTTATTTTTATTAGGTATTCTTTTAGCTTCTTTGTAATATTACATTATTATATAATTAAAGATAATTTTATTCATGAGATCATTGTAGTTAACACGTTTTACTCTATTTTTAGTTAAATAATTATAAAATTACAAACAAAAATTTAGAAATGTGGATATTCGATAATACATTAATGCTTCAAAAAACATTTCGTAACATTATTATTTTTAACACTGTCTGGAGTTACGGATGCTGATTTTCTCAACTCGTGCCATTTGTCCACAGTGCACTCAAAAATAAGATATTTACATGTACAAGTAAATAACCAATTTGATTATTTCATGTTTTTTGTTTGCTCTTTCCATTTTGGATGACCACAAATAATTTTAGAAACCTCATATTATATGAATTTGTTATCTTCATTTTCTTAGAATTATTTGTTTTAATAGGAAACTTACTTAAACATATGAATATTTGATTCTTTCATGCATTGCCCATAATATAGCCATACTATGATATACCGATTTGTGTTAGTTACTCAATCGAACGACAAGTCAAGTAACTTGCAAGTAGATCAAAGCAACACATCCCACATCTTTGGGTCGACTTCCCCAGGTCGACTTTCTATATCACCGTCATAAAGAAAGTCGACTTCCCTAGCGGTTTTCTCCAAGACGGTCTTGAAACCACTGCAATTGGGGAGATCGACTCGCTCGAGTCGATTCCCCCATGATGTCTAAATCAAGGACGGCTAGTTCAAGGACGGCTAGTTCAAGGACGACTCCCATTAAAAAGGTGAACATGCATAAGAGCCTCCTAATATGCTCCCATGAGTAAACTCCAGGTCGACTTCAGATATCAAGGGGTCGACTTACCGCACCTCGAGGCCCGCAGTAGACGACGACTCGGGGTACTTTACTCGGGGTACTTGGGGAATATTCGGACTAACTTAAGGAGATGAATTTTTATTAGATAAGATGGAGTCTTAAGCTAACTCAGGTCGACTAAGAGGTGATTAGGACACACGTAAACTGGGTAAACAGACCGATCAACCAGGCATTTTGGGTACTTCAGGTATTTTCTTCTATATAAACCCTAAACCCCAACTTCGACTATTTCTATTCATTTTCCCTGCTGCTGTTGCTTCCCCCTGAGCAGAGCTTTTCCCTCTTTCATACTGACTTTAGCGTCGGAGCCTCTACGCCGGAAACACTTCCGGCGTTAATTTTCTGCAAGTGTTTACGGCGGTCTAGCAACGATTTGGAGGCGGTTCGAACAGATCAGAGCTCATATCCACCGGTTCATTCTAGATCTAGGAGAAGGCCTATCAACCCAGTTTTTGAATTGATTTATTATCGAATATTCACATTTAGAATATAACATTTTTTTGGTAAGTTTTATTATTTAATTAAAGTATAGTAAAAATGTTAACTATAATATTAATTATTTTTTTTCGGAAACGATAGGAGATATTATAAATCAAAATGCACAAATGTACAAATACACAACAATCAACAACTGAATACACAACAGCCAGTAGATGAAAAAGTGGGAGGACAAGTCAGAAGATCGCCTAGAGTCCCAGCTAGCAACGCTAGAATAAAAAGCTCACAATAGACAACCCAACTACAAACTACAAAACACAAACTAAACTAAAATAAACTTAAAAGACCCCAACAGGGTAATACCCGAATATCAGATCCCAGTGGGATAATAAGGTGACACTCGGGCTCACAGAGGCCAAACGCCCAAACCAAAAAAATAGAGAACAATACTAATAACTGAAAAACAAACCAAAGACTAAAAACAAAACAAAAAGGGAGACACAATTTCCCTCGCTTAATACATCTAGATAAAAGGCAGACAAACCAACTCCA